GGGGGGGGGAGGCACAGCTTATCGGGCAGCCTCCCTGGCTTCCTGGAGGAGGAGTCGCTGCAGACCAGGCGCCGATTAGGGGTGAAAAAGGGTCAAGGCCGGACCCCGCCCCCGCCCGCAGCTCGGACTCCGGGGCGCCAGGGGCCCTCGGCGTCCCTAGAGGGGGCCACGGGAAGCAGGGGGAGGAGCACTCCCGGAGTTCAGAGACGGCCCCCACACACTGAAGACACTGGGGAGAGGGTCTGGCTAGAACTGCTTTCCAGAATGGGCCCCAGACCTGGCCGCAGCCTGAACCTAGGCCTCCCAGTCCCCAAACTGGGATTCTTCCAACACCCTCCAGTGAACACACTGATGGAGTGGCAGCAGCCCCCCAGAGATGGGTCGGGGTGGGGTGGAAAGAGGGACAGAAAGATGAACTGGAGGAGGGACAGAGCCACAGAGACAGCGCTGGAGAGACGCAGGGCAGACCCACCCCCCATACCTGCAGCTGTGTGAGGTCAGGCTCCTGCTGGCCCTCAGCCCCCCAGGGCAGCACCCTGCCCCCCACCAGACGATGAGGCCCACGACTCAGGAAGCAGAAAATGCCGGCTTCCTGGTGAGGGTTGAGGTGGGGTCAGGGGCCTGGCTGGGCCAGCTCAAGCCTGGTGGGCAGCAACACCTGCGGGTCCCCAGGGAGCGTCCTGAGATGAACAGAGGAAGCTCCGAGAGGTTTCCGTTTCTATGCAAAGGAAGTGAGTCAGGGGTGCGGCGAGGGCGGGACTTAGGCTGGACTGAGGCGCCAGATGGGGAGGTCTGGCTGGCTTGCCCAGGACCCTGGGCCAGCAGGTCACCTACCCTCCTCAGCCCTGCAGCCCTCCAAGCCTTCCTCGCTCCGTCCAGGCTCAGGACATCTGGTGAGGCTGAGGGCATCCCCTTCCCCAGGATCCACCGCCCTTACACCTCAGTCTGCCCTCTAAGAACCCCCACCACCCCAGCGACATCTCCACTTGCACCTGACCCCCACAGGGCCCCTCCCCGGTGGTGGGGTTTCCAGGCTGCCTCTAAGCAAGAAGGGGAGTAGGGCAAGAGAGGGGAGGGCAGGGTCCTTTGCCCAGCTGATGTCCCCCCAACCCCTCCCTATTCTCTTCTCCCCCACCGCCCCTCCCCCTCCCCTGACCCCAGTCTGGGGCCCCCAGAGTAGGTCTCATTTCCTTTTCCTCCCCCTCCTCCTCTACCAGGGCCTGGGGCTACATCGCCCCCACCTCCCCTTCCTCTTCCCCTGTCCCCAGCCTAGAGTTCCCCCCTCCCCCCAGAGGACAGGGCAGCACAAGCAGGGGCAGAGTTCTGGAACTGGGGAAGGTCCCCCACGTGTGGCTCAGAGTCCTGGTGGGGGAGAAAATTCAGGCAGAACTTGGGTCACAAGTTGGCAGATGGGGGCTCTGGACCCTTCCCTGGCCACCCCCTTTCCCATCTCTGCACAGATGGGCCTCCCCTCCTCCCATTCTGACCAAGGAGCTGTTCTCTGCCAGGCCCAGCCTGAAAGTCCCTCACCTCGGCCCAGGCCAGTCTGCGGCCCTCCTGTCAACCAGTAATGCCCCCAAGCCATCCGGCAGTCCTGACAGTCTGTCCTGCCCATGGCCCCCACTCCTCCCAGCTTCCTGTCCCTCTTCAGCCTCCCTCCCGCCACCCCTCTGCCCACACAGGTCCCTCCTGCGTCAGGGAAAGGTCAGTTCTGGGCCTGCGTCCCGTTCTCTCCAGAACATGGGCTTCCCAGGCCTCCTGGTGGCACGTGGGAGCTCCTGTCTGTCCATCTGTGCAGTGCCCTCTGCAGGAGCGCTGCACTGAGACACAGCTGCTTCTCCAGGTCCTCTTTCCAGCCTCAGGGCTGCTCCCCGGCCGCTGCCCCTCCTCTGCCCAGGGCCCAGTGCTTGGGGACCCCTCGGGCGCTTCACCCACCATGTGGCCTAGCGGTGCTTTCAGCCCACACAGGCCTTCCCAGGACTGGAGTGGGAAGGACACTGTCTGTCCAGGCCCTGCCCCTTTCCATGGCCCCAGCATGGGGTGGGGGCAGGTGGGTCCTTCAAGGCCCTGGGCTTTTTCTAGTTTCCAAGCTGCTTCTGACACAGGGAGGACACCAGGGGGCCTCGAGAGGCAGATACAAGAAAAACTGCAGTGGGGGCAGGCCTGTCTCCAGCGGCCAGCTGGCCACTTCTACCAGAGGCTGATCCACCAAACCCTCTGGGGTCTGGAGCCCCATCACTGGAGTGAGGAGGGGCTTGTACACTGGGCATGGCAGGAGTCAAGAAAATCAGGCCCGGAGGGCCCACCCCCAGTGGGGTCAAGGGTGAATCTGAGCCTGGGGCTAAGGCCTCGCCTCCCTGTACCTTCTCCCCCACCTCCAGGGGTGAGGGGGCCCCAGGACCCCACCTCTCCATGTCCTGCTGGACCAAGCCCACCACACCCTGTGCCCCGCTCCGAGAGGCCTCCCCTCCCACCTTTTTCCTGTGCACACCCCAGATTCACAGTTGTGTCTGCAACCTCTTCTCTGCAGACCCTTCACCCCAGTGGGGACTCTCCCCAGCTGCTGGCTGGAGGTGGGCGGGCACCCCTGGCTCCTCTCCTTCCCTAATTCCTGGTGAGGAGGCTCACGTCTCAGAACACACCTCCCCCTCCCCCATCCTCCCCAGTTTCCCAACAGCATTTGCCCGGGGTCACTGTCACCCCTGCAGCTCTGCCTTGTCCTGTAGGAGAGTTCTGCTCTCTCAGCCACCACCCCCTACACTATCCCTCCGTCCCTCCATGGGCTCCTCGTCGCCAACAGCTGCAGCCCCCCACCCCCACCCTGTTCTTGCAGCTCACGGCCTCCACCCCACGACCCCTCACCCACTGGGGCCTCCATCTCTGTCCATCTTGACCACGAGCCTCAGGTGGGTCACGAGGGGCCCGGTGGGCTCACACACTCCTCCCATAGCTGAGATCCTTCCCTGTCCTCTCTCCTTAGCCCTACTCCACCCCAGTCCTGCCTCCCACCCCAGGACCTTCCCTCTGCTTCCCGGAGAAGATGGAAGCAGCTGGAAGGGGACCCCCCCCAGTCTCTGCACCCACAGACCTGCCTCCCCCCTGAGAATGTCCCTGGTCTCGAGAAGACCCCCACCTGTGCCCTGGCCCCACCCCCACTGGCCCACTCAATGACAGCCCAGCTGTCCCCTCCCACTCCACTTTCCACTCACTGGGTCATTCATTCCATCAGGGCACAAACCTGTATTTCCTATGCCTTAAAAAGAGAGTGGGCTCCTCCTTACCCCCAATGCCCATGTCCCCACATCTTTGCTTTCCTGCTATGTCTCTGTGGGTGTCTCCAGTTCCTCTCACACTTGCAGGGCTGCACCTGTCAAGGTCACAGTGACCTCCACACAGCTGTCACCACGGGTGGTGAGCAGTGAGGCCCACCCCGAGCTGACTGCAGTCAGACTCAGGACCCCGAGGAGCCTGGACAGAGCACGGCCACGCCCAGGCCTTACCTCCCATGGCTGCTGTTCACCGGCAGGACCGAGTGTCCAGACTATGTCCCACAGACAGAAATGCCCCTAAGGCCCCTGCCCACCCTGCACTGAACCATCCTCCGGGGTGCATGCAAACAGCTCATCCACCGATTTACCAAAATGCCTTTTATTTACATGAGTGAAAGCCTCACGTGTGCGACAGCTGTCCCTCACCTGACCAAGATGCTGCAGCTGGACAGGAGCACAGTGCTCCCAGGGTAAACTGAGGCAGCAGGGGCCTGGGCTTTCCTCAGCCATCCCTGCTACACAGGTGCTGGTGGCGAGGGGGACGGCCCTCTCTGCCTGCGGCTGGGTCAGCAGACCATCCACTGTCAAACCTCAGGGGCTCCTGGGAGGGAGCTGGGCTCCATCTGCAGACATCCTACAGGCTCTAGCCCATCAGTGCCAATGCGCTGGCCCAGCCCCTTTCCCCTCAGCCTCGGCCCCCTGCCCTCTCCCCTTGGAGAACAGGTGGCTTTTTCCTAATCCCAACTACTGCCCATCTGTCTCCCCCACAGCATGGAAACCCACAATGCAGGGCAGGAATGAGCAAGCTTTCCAGGGCAGGGGGGTGCAAGGGGCCAGGCTGGGCACTGCAGACCCGGAGCAAGGCCTGTGCTCCACGGAGCCAGCCGGGAGCCCTTGAGGGGCAGGGACATAGGTCCCATTTGCATGGACAGCACACACCTCCCAGGACACAGCAGGGCTGAGGCCAGAGGAGGGGTGCCCCACCCACAGGACGGTCGAGGGGGCTCGGCGTAGCCCAGCCCCAAGCCCATGAGCAGCCGGTCTGCCTCCAAGAGACTCAGGGCCCCAGCCTTGCAGGTCCAGGAAGCCTCTTCTGGCAGCCAGGGCCACTGACCACACCAGGGGCCCTGTCCACTGTCCACTCCCCAGGGGCCCCAGGTGAAGCCTCAGAGCCCAGCTGGGGCGGCCACAGTGGGAAGGGGCAGCTCCAGGGCCGGGGTCTCTGCAGTCTGGGCTGGACTGGGCTTCTGATGGTCCAGCTGCTCCAGCTTCTCGCCGAGCTGGGAGTAGAGCTCCTTCACCGCCTCTCCGCTCTGTGAGGAAAGCGCACGGTTTCAGGGCAAGCCCCAGGGCTCAGCAGAGCGTGTCCACACTCATGACGTGCAGACACGGAGGGGGCAGGGGTATGGCTGGGCACCCACCTGGCCCGTGGGCTCCAGCGCCTTCTGCAGGGCCTGCAGCTTGGACGGCGCCACCCGGTGGTGCAGGTGGACGAGGAGCCGCAGCACGTGCCGCTGCACGTTCTCCTTCCTGGAAGAGGCCACGGCCAGGCTGCAGGGGGCCCAAAGCTGCCCGCCCGCCCAGCTGTTCCACCGGCCCCAGCACCCCCCCAACCCCGGGACCCAGGCTTCAGGGACATGGACTGAAAGGTGGGCACCTCGGGGAGGCGGTGAGGAGGAAGCCATCAAAGAGGCTGCTGCAGAAGTCCTCCAGGGCAAACTCGTCGGCCAGCAGTGCCAGGTTCCCCGTGAGCAGGTGGAGGAAGATGTCACCAAACGCCAGGTCGCCAAAGGTCTCCACTGCAGGCAGAGCAGCGTCAGCGGCCGGGCCCACCACCCAAAGCCCTTGCCCAGGCCACCCTCTGTCCCTCAGACCTCGAATTGTGGGGAGACCACAAAGGAGCACGAGTTCTGAGGATGGGGTGCCGGGTTTTCCTGAGAGCCAGAACCTGGGCCTGGACAGGGAGGCAGACGGAGGTGCGGCCAGGGGCGGGGCGGGGGTCGGGGCCGGATGGCAGGGGGCAAACACCCAGATACGACGGCTGTGGCAGCTATTACAGAAACGCCGACAGGGAACTTTGTCACAACGGATCTGGCTGACGCCACCTGAGCCGACGAAGCTACTCAACGTGACTGTCACCAGGAGAGCCAGGCGCCACCAGCTGCACTGAGGTGCACTCCTGCCACACACCTGACTGAGTCTTGGTAGGCCTTGCGGCCAGCGGCCAGTTTACAGGACATGCAGCAGGCGCACGGTTACGACACTGGGGGACGCCACCAGCAAAGTCTTGACCAGGGAACACACGCCCTGGTTCCCCGTATTCCACTCATCCCTACAGACTGAGAGACCTGGGGGCGACGAGGAAACGCCAGAGTGAAGTGTGGCCCCTCCTCAAATCCCGACCTGAACAAACCGTCGGTACAAGATGTTACGTGATGATCAGGGAACAGGGCCACCACCGGGCCTGGACCCAGATGCAACCGTGGGCTGTGGGCACGGTGTCTAAGAGCGTCCTTTGTCAAGACACCCGCCCATCATGCAGAGCCGGCATGCTGGGAGTCTGGCCCTGCGGCCAGACCATGACCAGGGGAGGTGACCGTGGAGGTGGGCGATGGGCCCAGGCTTCACTCTGCTCTTCCCATTTCATCAAGATTCCCACAACAGAAAGTGAAAAAGTAAACAGAAGAGAATGTAAAAATCAACGCCGTTCTTACTAGAACCTACTGAGCACATAAAAGAACACGTGCATGCTTCCTGAACGGGACGAAAAGATCCCATCCCAGCCAGCCGGGCGGCTGCGCACGGCCGGAAAAGCGATGCTCCCACCGCAGGGAGGACACCCCATTTCTAGCCGACACAATTAGACGAGAGAAAGAAACAAGAGTACTGAAGTGAACAGAAAGGATGAGGCAAATCCCAGTTACTTATAACCGCGTTCCCAGAAGTCTCCAAAAACAGACAGAAGCTGCAGCCCCTGTGGCCGGCAGGACGGCCCTGAGAGACAACTACGTTCCAATCCGGGCGTCTGTGGACGTGCTACCTCGTGTGGCAAGGGGCCGCGAGATGGGAGATGACCCTTGATGACCCAGGTGGGCCCAACGTCATCACAGCGTCCTTATGGGATGGAGGCAGGAGGCGGGAGGGCCAGAGTCAGAAAGAGATGCGGACGGGCAAAGCTGGAAGAATGAACTGTGAGGATGAAAGAGGGGGCCGGGGGCCGAGGAGGCGGGCGGCTTCTAGAAGCTGGAGGAGACTAAGAAATGGACTCTTCCTGGAGTCTCCAGAAGGAGCTAGCCCTGCCCACACCTTGACTTTAGCCCCGGGAGATTCACTGCAGACTCCTGACCTCCAGAACAAGTTCGTGTTGTTGGGTTAAGTGGCAGCTGAGTATAAATTAACAGCCACAAATAGACATAACACACGCACCATCGTCAGACTCATCAATGACCTAGAAACACACTTAGCAAGGAACGTGCAAGATCTTGATGAAGAAACCTCAACACCCCAGACAAGACCTGAGCCAGAGGAGGCCCAGGCTGGTGTGCAGGGAAGGCCAGGTGCTCCTAGAGGCCCCTTCTCCCTGACTTGACCTGCAGCTCACTCGGTTTTTTTTGTGAGGAAGATCAGCCCTGAGCTAACATCTGCCAATCCTCCTCTTTTTGCTGAGAAAGACTGGCCCTGGGCTAACATCCGTGCCCATCTTCCTCCACTTTATATGGGATGCCGCCACAGCGTGGCTTGACAAGTCGTGCATCGGTGCACGCCCAAGATCCGAACCTGGGCCACCAGCAGTGGAGCGCGCGCCCTTAACCGCTAAGCCACCAGACCGGCCCTGCAGCTTACTCTTGAAGGGGTACGCTCAGACCCCTCCCTCTTCTTCCCGGCTTGCAGCAACCCACCCCCACATGCAGCTAGAGGATCCTGGGGGGCAGTGGCCTCTTCACTGCCTTGGAGGTGGGCTGTCTCAATCGTCTGGAGACTTGAGGGGCTCCACACCCCTTGCCAGTTAGGATAAAATTCAGGCGGCTCTCCTACCGCAGTGGAAAGGACTCTTTAACAAATGGTGACAAGAGTGGAGAGCATCCGTGAGAGGACAAAGCTGCGCTCCTCTCGATTTTGCACCCAATAACCTCCAGAAAACACACCTGAGAGTAAAGCAAGCTAGCCGTCGGGTGGGGCAGCGGGGTGGAGGGCAGGGACGGCACAGGCGCCACGCAGACTTACCGAGCCCCGGCAGCAGGCGGAGGAGCGCGTTCTTGTTCCTCTGCTTGGTGATGTGCAGTACGTAGTACAGCCCCACCTCACAGGCCATGCGCTGCTCCTGCAGGAACCTGCGCCCGCACACAGTCAGCCCGAGGAGCGCGTCCACGCAGCCTCCGAGGGCACCTGCGGCACGAGCCCCCCACCGCAGCCCCGCAAGCCCGTACTTGGTGAAACTCTCTGGCAGCGTGCTTGGGTACGTGACTGGGGCTTTCTCCTCGGCCGGGAGCTTCTGATCCACGTTGAAGGTGTGGTCGTCCACCACGAAGGACATGAGCGTGGGCAGGAACCTGGTGATGAGCTCTGCCTCCTGCGCAGGAGAGACCCGAGAGCTCGTCCTGCACTGTCCCCACTCTCAGCCACCTCCCGGGCTCCATCTTCCCTGGATGTCGGCTGGGGACCCGTCCCTCCTTCCCATCTCCTGAGACCCCACCTTCCCGATCTTCCTCAGCCCCACAGCCCCTCGTGGGACAGCGAGAGAAAGGACTGCGGCCGAGTCCCGTTACCATCTTGGGCTCCTTGAACACTTGGCTGTCGATCATGTCCCACGCCCCCTGGCCCAGCGCCAGCAGCCTGAGCAGCAGGAGGAGATCGGGGCTGTCCTGCAGGGAAACAGTTGTCAGCACGAGCTCACCTGAGCTTCACTCTCCCCTGACCTCGCTGTCGCCCAGCGGTGTCCTGGAGCTGCGACCAGGACCATCGGCTTCACTCACAAGGCTCCACACACCCTCCACCCGTGCGTGGGGAGCGGGTGCTCTCACTGGGGGCAGGTGTGGGCCTGGCCACCAGCGGTCCACACCCACAGGCCCACCCAGGAGGCAGCCTACAGCCAGCCAAGCGCACTCACCCTGGGCAGCGTCTCCTGGCCGACCAGCTCCTGGAGGTGCCTGACGGTGCTCAGCGACAGAGTGTTGATGGCAAAGGGGTCACACAGGATCATGGACAGATCCCTGCGAGGACGAGCCCATGTGGCATCAACATGGGAGGCTCCCAGCCCACCGAGGGGCGGCCACCGGCTGGGCTGCCTCAGCCACTGACCTGGGGAAATGGCCCCTCTACACAGAGCAAGCCCATCCCACTCTGCACTTCTTTCAAAGAAAATCTCAAGTTCATAACTCACCCTTAACTTACTCAAAAAACTGAAGAATTCATAAGTTTTTTAAAAAATTAAGGTCCCATTTTGGTTCTGAGAACCTGACCCAGACTCCATAAATTCAGCCAGAATCCCACAGTGACAATCACAGGGAGAAGGAGCCACGGAAGGGGGCGGGATGGAGCCCACTGAGAGAGGACGAGGCCGGGAACCAGGTCCCACCACCTCTGGGCACAGCAGGCCCCCAAGATGGGGCTGGCCACCCACCCCTCAGTTCACAGGCAGGGGCTGACTACTGACACCAGAGCCCCGGCCTGGGCGCCCCGCTCGCCCGAGACTACAACAGTCTCGTCCCCAGCAGCCAAGTTTCTCATCTGCAGGTGTGGGGTTCCGCGCAGTTCTCCTGATACGGACTGGAATAAACACCCCACTCCCAAGTGGACACAGTGTCTCACCTGGACACCTGTGGACAGGACCCTGGGGGCTGGGGGTGCCCGCAAAGGCCGATTCTCACCCCAGGACTTGCTCCTGTCCCTTCTTCACTCCGTCAAGAAACCCCTGCAGCTCCCGGGCCCTCTTGCTGTCCACGAACCGCTCACGGATGCAGGCGTCCAGGCACCAGGTGAACTGCAGGGAAGAAGCCCGGTCAGGACAGGACACTAGCTCTCGCCTCTCCCTCAGGTGCAGCCGCTGCCCAAGCCTCGGGTAAATGTCAGGACCCATCACCCCACATGGCTGGGGCCTGGCTCGGTGCCAGGAACAGGACAGCACAAAGGTGTGCAGGCCCAAGGGCCCAGGTCCCCACGGATCAGGCAGTGCGTGGAGGAAGCAGTATTTGTGTTTTGTTCTAAAAAGGGCCTGCCTGGCGGCACCCCCTGTGGAAGTGGACACTGCAGTCTCAGAGAAGGACATCGCCTTGGGCTGCACAGCGTCTGTCCATGCCGCACATGAGGGCAGTGCAGGAAGCCCATTCCTGGAGCACAGACCTCGCCAATGAGCAGCCCCCGAAGGCTCTGGAGCAGGGGAGGGCCACAGGCCCCATGAAGACCAAAGGAGGCTGGAGGAAGGGTCCAGGAGTGGCCCTGGAGCCTGCCCCGGCTGGAATGAAGGAAGAGACACGGCGGGCGAGAGACGGAGATGCAGGGGAGCTGGCTCAGGGTCAGTTGCCCAGAGGACACCCCATCCCCTGGTCCAGTCGGCAGAGGGGCTGGCACCAGGAGGTGGCTAGGTGGCCAGATAGTCAGAGCCCAGGTACCAGGACCATCGCATCCAAGGGGAGGGAAGAGAGAAGCCAAGGAAGAGACCAGAGAGAAGAGGAGCAGGGGGGCCGGGCGGGGGCCACCACCTTGTGGCAGGGGTCCACGGAGCAGATGTCGCCGACATCCAGGTCGTGCAGGGACATGAGCAGCTCAGCCCGCAGCGTGCAGTAGTGCACGTTCCGGGTCCGCAGGAAGAGGGTCCGCAGGAACTGCAGCACCATGTCATACAGCTTCACGTTCTTCCCCACCATCTGCGTCAGCTTCTGCACCACCTGGTGGGTGAGAGCCCCCCAGCCATGGTGTCACCAAGCCCCAGTGACAGCACCACCTGACCCCTGCCCTTCATTCTTTCCGTGTGTTTGGTGCTAAACATCTCCTCTGTCACTAAATGCTGGCTCTGTGCCAGGTGGTGGCGTGTCTGGTTTTTAAGAAGGGAAAACCCACATCAGGCCCCATAGCTTCTCTGAAAGGCCATCAGCCTGTGACCCAGTCAGCTGGCGTGGAGACTCAGGCCCAGATGAGGACACACAGTGGCCACCGTCCTCAGAGCCCAGTCAAGGCCTCGCTGCCGTCCGCCTGGCTCCCCATCTCCTCCTGCAGCTTGAGGCTGAGGCCACCCCGCCCCACCTCTAGCACCTGCACTCGTCCCTGGACAGGGACCCCCACCTCCACACCCTGCCCACTTGAGTGGCTCCTGCTGCAGCCCACAGGAGAGCTTTACTCACTGGGCGTGAACAGGGGCTGAGCTTGGACTAACGGTGTGAAGGACATGCAGGGTGACCTGGGGGATGGACCCCACAGCAACCCAGGCACCAGGCTGGACAGAGTGAGTGGAGAGGCCAGCAGGGGTGGCAGCAGCAGTGACTGGCCTGACAGGCCCTGAGGGCCCCTGCCGAGGATTCTGCAGCAGGCCTCAGGGACCCCAATGAGCAGAGCACCCACGTACTGGGCACCTCTAACAGTGACAACAGCTAACATGTACCAACCCTGACCATGGCTTGAGCCCTGCATCACATGCAAACAAAAGGATAAAGCTGGGGACAGAACCACGGGCCTGTCAGCTGACCCACACCCCGAGACCACGAGGCGACACGTTAACCTGTCTCGACTTTCTCTCCTGGCAGCGGTGCATGCCACGCCCAGAGCAGGAAGGACCCAGGCTCTCACGGGGGACCCTGGCTTGGAGGGGAGCGTGAAGGAGGAGCAGGAGCCCACAGGCAGCCCGCAGCCTGAGGCCAGGCTCCCCCAAGACGGGCGGGAAGGCAAAGAAGGCAGGGCCCAGACACACACTTTGTGGCCCGCTCGGGAAGCGATGCTGCCATCACCGGCCAAACATTTGGGAACAAACATTAGATTAGATCCTAAGTACACCAAACACGCGAAACCCCAGGGGAGAAACCTGAATGTGAAAGAACTCAACAGAACACCAAACGCCCCTCAGCCAGCGACTGTCCACAGCACGAACACCTCCCCGCCGGATGGAGCAGCCCCTCCTGGAGCCAGCTCAGGCAACCTCAGTGACACCCACCTCCCGGGAACAGCCAGGTCTGCACGGTGGCCTCTGGCTCTCCCGACCTCACCCTGCCCACGCGCGCCCTTGCTCTCGGCTCCAGCCACACAGGCCTCCCTGGTCCCCAGAAACCTCGGTCCAATGCCCCTCAAAGCCTCTGCTCACACACCCTCATGGCTTGGCTTCCTCACTCCCAGAGCCCCGGTCCGTCCCCGCCCTGCCTCGCCTCGCTCTGCAACCTTGTGCCTCAGCGACCCTTGTTCACTCCTCAAGCTCTCGGTGACCAATGCTTGCATAGCACCCACTGCCATTTCCTGCATAGCACCCACTGCCCACCCCCCTGCCCGACGGCAAGTGGCCCAGGCAGGCACCCTGACCTGCGGGGTCACTGAAGGGTCCGGGCACCTAGTTGGCAGGCAAGAAAACTTTGTCAGAGTGACAAACGAGTCAGACATAAAAACACAGGAAACTTCCCAGAGTTGAAAGAAGACTGGAAAGCTTAAGAAAAAAGCCTCGCCCAGTCCTTCAGTGCCAAGCTCATGAAACCAAAAAGAGCCACACCAAGCACAGCGCTGCAAACCACCCCCCCAGCAGCCACACGTACAAGCCTACCCTTCCAGGAGCAAACACACTCGCAGGGTGCGCAAGCGGCCGGCCAGGGCCCTGCACACAACCCTGCCTCCTGCCTCACCTCGCCCTGGCGCCTCGTCTTGGGGGAGGGACTGAAGAAGTTGTGCAGAACGGAGAGCTCCGTGCTGAAGAGCGCACTCTCCTTCTCCAGGATGTACTGCTTCAGCAGTGGGGAGACCTCGTCCCCGAAGAGCGCCTGGTTGTCCTGCCAGATCTGCCGCTTCACCTCCACAGCACAGGCCCGGTACAGCTCCTTGTCGGCCATCACCAGCTTCAGCTTCTTCTCAGGAACCTGCGTGACCCCACAGGCTGCCGGTGACCAATGCCCAAGCCCTGGGGTCTTCCTCAAGACAGGTCAAGAGGCCTCAGCCCCCCACGGGAAAGAACACCTCCAGCCCAGCCCTGACCAATGGGGACACTTGTGACTGGCCCCCCAGGCCCTGGTAGGTGCAGGCAGCCAGGCTGAACACAAACAGCTCTTTCCCAAAAAGATCCCCACACTCCAACTCACCTGCCACGCTTCAGTCTCTGCATGGCTCACAGGGGGAAGCTGGCACCGACAACGTGCCTCGTGCAGGCAGCTCAGGAAACCTCCCCAGAGCTACACGGACGCCTGGACCAAGTGCACACGCAGCGGCCCCCAAGCCAGGGCGCTGTGCAGAGAGAGCCGGGGGCACGCTGGCCCCACGCTGTTACCTTGGGCAAGTGCTTCATGACGCACATCACCACCGGCTGCAGGGACGGCATCTTCACCAAGGAAAAGCTCTTCTCCAGAAGATCTTCCAGTTTCTTGTACCTAGAAGACTCGCAAGACTAAGGAAACAGCACAGGATCGAGCAAGAAGCAGCTGCTGCCTGTCCCCAGACACACGAGGGCTGAGGAGCCGCGTCTCCAGGGGTGGACGCTCGGGGCAGACGCCCCCTGTTGAGCTGAGACGTCCACTCGAGGGGCCAGTAAGCGCGGCGAATCCGCTCGCCCGCCCACCTACCTCTCCTCCGCCTTCCCCTCCGAGGCGATGGCCGACACGCGCTCCAGCAGCTTGTCCCGCAGCTCGTCGAACACCGACTGGTGGAACTCGAGCCGCGGCGTCCCGTGCAGGTCCAGGAAGGGCAGGGCCGACTGCAGGGAGGGCAGCAGCACGCCGTTCTCGGTCTGCGGAGGCGAGGATCGGCGCGGGCCTCTGTCACTCGGGGGCGACCGCCGCAGCCGCGTCTGGCTGGGCGCTCGGGCGCCCCG